ACTCGATAAACGGCAATGCAGATAACAAATCCTAAATGTGAATTTATGTATTTATTGTTCTTTCTTCCTTCGATTCCTTTATTATGGGATAAATAATTTATTTACGTTTGAGCGTAGCGAATTAGGAAATAAGTACGTTCTTTATTGCGGGTGCCTTGAGTTCGTCTTTTTAAGTATGAGAGTTGTGTAACGCCCTACAAATTGAAATAACAGACACATCTTAAAGATTCTTTCAGTTATTTATATGAAAGGCGTCTAGTACTAGTATATAAATTGTGATGCATTTTGGTACACTTAACAGAAATCTTACATTGAATATACCGCTGTATATATTTGCACTGTGTATAACATACGTACAATACTGAATTCTGTCGGACGGGTACATAGCTGTTAAACATATATTGAACGAGTTGCTGGCCCATCAGTATGGTACCTAATTTTTAATTCACTCCATCAATTCTAAAACATATCAATGTAAAGAAAACACTATTAAATATCAGTGTTTTTGTATTAAATTTATACTTTGAGTACAATATGAATTTGATATGGATTTGATATATATATATATATCAAATCCATATCAAATTCATATTGTACTCAAAGTAGGCGCTGTGTCGTAATTGGACTGGCATATCGATGTGGTGGTATGTGTGTATATATTCTCTCATTTCTATCAATTTATCTGCACACTTGTATCTTAAGTGATCCCACGCAGGGGAAGGTATAACTGTATTGAATTTAATTATCTCCCTTTATATATACTTTATCTGTCTAAATTCATTGTATCCTACGGATCTACTTGATCTTACGGGATCCAGTTGACTTTCGGAAATAGATATATAGTTCTCTGGTCCCAATCAGTGAAGAAGACAATAAAATGTCATCGTTGATTTGTGAGGTATGTTAACAGAGAACAAACTCTATATATGTGAATGTTGAGCTTGTTTCAATGTGTAGTGCAGTTTGTGACTGTATATAAAGCTGTTCTGAAACCATCATTTTTGTGATGGTGGATGAGTAGTGGCTATGCTTTCATGACTGCTCTGCTAGGCGCTGTGTCGTAATTGGACTGGCATATCGATGAGGTGGTATGTGTGTATATATTCTCTCATTTCTCTCTCTCTCTATATATATATATATATGTAAATTTTGAACCCGGTAAATGAAAACGAGGGTAGATAGAGCAAACTATGCAATAGATATGGATATTTTGAAATAGGGAAAAAACGTGTCGAGATGGATTACAATAAGCATATTTGATACGGGAAATGAAAACAAGGCTAAATTTAAAAGATTGTACCCATTGATGATTTACTTTCGAGCATCACGTTGTGCAAATGCTAGGTCATGTATTCATTTAGGCCTCATCCAATACATGTGTGACAGCTGTGTTCTAGTCCAATAGGATTCGTATGTATAATATCGATAGGATCAGGAAGTAAAATTAAAGGTGAAATGAAATTTTTCACAATCTACTTTTGAAAGCGACTTAAATCTTATCAAACCTAGACATTATGTAAATCACGTAACGTGAAGGCAGTTTGTAATTACATTGGCTCATCTTATACAGCAAACATTATATCTTTTAATACATAATTATTTTTCACTTCATTGTGTGTGTGTCATCTTAATTTGCACTTTGCTCACATTTTCATTTACTTCTCTAAAGCATGCGAAATTGCAAAATTTATCCTTGAAAAAAGAGTAAAAATTAAGACTTAAAAAGAACCCTCAAGTTCTGAAAATATTGACATTACTACTACTTTAAGGCATTTGATTAACAATATGCAAACAATCATGTATTTGTAAAACAAGATAAAAATTAGTTAAAAAATCATTCACTCACACGAAACATTTGACTAGTATTCAACAAAACTTATTTTTATTTGCTTGTTCATGTCTTGCCTCTAACTTTATGCAACACAATTCACCATTTTAATAATCGCAAATGTCCATCTTAAGACCTTGCAGCCTGCTAGAGTGAGTGCTTTTTTTTCAAATTTCATTTTTTTCGTTCCACATGTTGTTGTTGTTTTGTTGTTGTTTTTGTTGTTGAGGATGAGGTCTGGCATCACAAATACACTGAATGTGTTTTCTTCTACTGTGCATTTGTACCATATATACGTTGATTGTTTGGCTTTACACTCGTTTTGATAAAAGAAGGATACCTTACCAACCTAGAATGTTGTGCTGAATGGCATTTTTTTTAGCTCGACTTTCGAAATTTTATGTGTCTTGCTGAATGTTGATTGTTTAGGTCAACTTTTATTTGAGAACTGATACATTTTCTTAGATCGAATGTTGAGCTGAATGTCGCTATCTGAAATTTCATTTCAAGTATATATTATTCATATACATGTATATTATTGATTAACACGTGATTTGGCATGATGGTTATTGGAAAATTACTGGATACTCTAAGCGATTCAAAATTTATCTATTTTATAGTTTTACCAGATCTTTACACCCGTTAACAGTTGATCAAAATGAAGTTGATACAAAAACTGATTATTCTTATAACTGTTTTTAAGTTTTGTTTAGTACTTGCTGGAATACAAATCGGTTACAAGCGCATGTCTTCTATACACTCTAGCGTTTGTCCACACGTTAATGTTATCAAGAACGTCTCATTTGTCAGCAAAATGGAGTGTCTTAATATTTGTGCTGGAAAAAGTGCTTGTAGTGGAGTCTTTTTTCAGTCAGTCAGCCAACATTGTATTCTTTGTTCGGCCAGTTACTTGACACAGGAAAACACCAACCAGTCTGAAAATTATACATTCTATGGTAAGATAATTTTTAATTCATTCATTTCTTTGCGATGTTTTACGCTATATTACTTAATGGTTATTTCAAATTGTAAAATATTGCTCTAAAATAAGGAGTCCCTTTCGAAATCTAACAGCAATAATAATGTGTTAACAACCGTTTGCTTTCATTCTGAAATAATAACTGTAAACGGTACTTTAGTGAACTGACCAATTTATGTTATTAACATGTTAATCTGCCATAGCTTTACTCTAGAAAAAAAGACAGATGTGTTGATATATTTTTCTCCGTTAGAACCCAAACCACTGTTTATCAACATTTCAATATATTTGCAAAGAACCTTTTAATTACGAAATACACTTTGATAGACATATTTTGCCAAATGTCTAGAGATACATATGTCACTATTGTATCAGAATAATCATCAGAAGCAAGCATACAGTATGTGATCAAACAAATTCATTCAACACAATTAAGTAGGATAAAATAATAATGTAAATGTTATATAACGTGCGGGGATAACACGTATATACGAGTATGTATCATTTATATTATATGGATATTGCTATTCATAAAAATATGATGCAATACCTGTTCATTAATCTGAAATTCTTCTTTTTAAAATCACTCAAGTTAAAATAGAATAAAGGACCTATGTGGTATATATTTATGTACATACTGTTTGTTTGCTATAGACATTGTATTATGTTTCATGCAATAGAATTGGAAATTGGAAAACATAAATACAGTGTTCTCTAAATACATTATGTTTTGTTTATTTAATACGAATTTCTGTCAGCTTAATTTGTTTTATTTGTATTAAACTTATTAACTAATTATATCTTTCACCATTGCCGTCGGAAGGAGCCAATTCAACAGTAACAGTGTATTGGCTTGTGAAACAGTTATTGACAAGGAGCAGTGCGCAGGTATTTTTATTTTATTTATTTATATTTAATTCACTTTTGGGGACAGGGAGGGGGGGGAGATATTTAATTTTCCACTGGAAAGCTCCAAATAATATATTATTACATTTTACTGTTAATATTTAATTTAAGATAGATCTATTAGGTAAAAGAAAGTGATACGTGGTGCGCAATGCGATATTATCTGATACAAATCCATCATCCATAAGAAGAAAGATAGAAAAATAAAGATTTGATACTAAAGTTATCATCAGTATTGCATTTTATTTGAAAAGAAAATCACTCAGATACTTTTATGCCAAATCCAGTAAAATTGTATTTTGATAATTCAACTGTGAAATTATCAGAATATAAAAGTAAGAATAACTGTTTGTCTATATATGATAATGTGAGAGTGACGGTTCATTATAGGGTTAAGCAGTACTAATGTTATCATCGTATCGATTTATTCAGGGAATATACATAAACACAAACAATATTGTCACATATATCAACTTGCATATATAACACAAACAAACACGCAAATATGCAACAAAAATAATTGTAAAACTTATCAGTATGTTTTATGTTACCCTAGGACTGCTCATTAAGCTAAAAGCTCATTTCCAATGGGATCCATTTACTGTTATAATATCACACTAACTTATATAATAATAATAATAACAAAAGTCAGTAAACTGCGTCTAAATAAATCGATGAGAATGACAATACTTGACATTAGTTGCTGTTTGGGTCATAATATCTACCCCAAGGGAACCTGCCTATTTAGCGAAAACTGCTAATCGGAACACATCGGTTATTATGTACAATAACTTCGGATTTATTATGTACAATAACCTCGGATTTATAATGTAAAATAACCTCGGATTTCATATAGACAGAATGTAGTACTACCACGCTGTTTAGATGTAAAAAAGCAAATGATGTGATGATTTAGGTGGACTTTTGCTCGGTATAATAATTTTAGTCAGCCACGCCTTACTAAATTATTATTTATTTACAAGTTTAGTTTATTAGGGTAGGTTAAAGCGGAATATTGTATCCGTTAGAGTGTATATTTACTATTGTGCTCGAGGGTCCTATCCAAAAGTTGACGGAAAGGGTCGAGAAGATACGATTTCGGAAACAGCTTGACGAGTAACCGCCCGAGGGTCGGATATTCCGATCCGGATCATTTAATCAAATCAAGTATTTTAATCTCTATATAGATGTTAGATCTTATATGTAACTTAATTGATATTTGTCCTCCGGAAACAGGATGTCAAAAGAGCAAATAATTCTATATGAATAAAACAATAGAATCAATAACAACAAATTCACTTTACTTACAAGCACTACTTGTAAGTATGAAACAGTAGAATTTTAAATGGAAAATACGCACCAATTACAAAAAAACTTTTGTTTAAATATGTAGGAAAACTGCGAAAATTTCGGTGGGCAATTGGTATCCATCAAGACAGCTGCTGAAAACAATTATCTGAGGCAGTTTGTTCTTGCTGGTAAGTAGAATTAAGATTGATAAACAACATATTGTTTCTGTAATGGACAGTAATGCCGTTAGTAATTTATAACAATTCATTATAATTTCTTTATGAAACTGGAATTTAAAAAAATGCATTTAGTCCATTTAGAAAAGGGTCCGTTCGTGCTCAAACAGTTAACAGTTTTAAGAATTATTTACCAAGTTAAACTTCATAGAAGAAAATGTAGTTTGTTTATGGTACATGCACAATGAACTAAATACAAACATATCTTAAAGAATAAAATTAAAGGCATCTTTCCTGTCTATTTAGGTAACGAAAGCATATGGACAAGTGGTGTCGGGCTTGGTGGACAGAAAAGCACGTTTAAATGGGAAGATGGATCATTGATAGGAGACGGATTTACAAACTGGCGAGTAGGACAACCGTACCCTACCAATAATGATAATGCTTGCATAAACTTGATACCAAATTGGAACTTCCAATGGAACGATGCAGTTTGCACCGCCGAGTGTTACAGCATTTGTAGTTTTTATTCCAACTGAAGTAAATATTCAATTTTACTTCGAGATATATTGTAGTGTCAGCTATTTGATATTGAGCAACATTTTTTCTTGATAATGATTTAATACCGATTCCGATTTTATCTCCTAGATTCGAAGATCGCCACGGTTGTATTAAAATGTTGAATATAACCGGGGCTCACCGGCACTAACGGGGAAGGAAGCCCGAACCGTGTTCTATTGGCGGGAACCACCGTATCTATACCGCATCCATACCGTGACAACCCGTAGTGAACCGGGTTGCGTGTAAATCAATATCGGGTACTGAACCGGGAATACAGAGCTTTGTTACTTCGAGTATAAAAGGATTTGATATGTTTTTAGTATGAAAATGAAGCTAGACTGAGTACAATAGTGATTTTATATGAATTTTTTGGACTGGTAAACGAAAATAAAGCTAAGTTGATATGATTAGATTCAATATTGATTTATATCGTTAAATCACATGGTCCAAACGGTTGAAGTTCGTTGGTTACATTAGATAAGGTTTGATAAACAAGTACATTTAAGACTTGATCTGATCTCAAATTAACTTCAAATTTGCCGCTATATTCTCTATTTTTGTCTGTACGTGATAGCAAATCAAACATGAGGTGACAAACCATAAAAGTATGGAAGCCTTGGAGGGTCACTTTTGAGTTTCGACTTATAGATTTATTTTATTATTTTCTTATGACTTTTGATTTGTGACTTTTGATTTATGACTTTTGATTTTTGACTTGTGGATTTTGTTATTGTCCCACGTGCTTGCCTCATAATTCCCAAGGATAATATGGCAGAATATGATAACGATTCAGACGAGGTAAGTTCATTTACCTAAGTTTCCTGGTGACTTATTTAAAAAACAAAATATGTGGGCTCCTATATGCAAGAACAGAATGTTATTCTTATATAAGCCTTTTTAATTGATTAGGAAAAGAAAATACTTTGCTTGCATTGCATTGCATTGGGTATCCATTTTTGATTTTGATTTCCAGAACAGGCATATATAATCTCAAATTGACATACAGCGTATGAATCAAACGTTTTATTTTTTAAATGGGTTCCAGTTTTAAATCCAAATAAGTCTCGCATTGTTGTTAGCTGCAGTTTCAATCGGTATTCACTCGTAGTTCATTCTTCTTATATTGAATATAGATCAAATTATAGGCCTGCCTTATTTTGACAAAGAAATTTATAGTTAAGAAGTTTCATGCAAAATGGTATTTCAAAAACAATAAATCATACAGCTTTGAATCTTCACACACTTGTTTAGGACACGCTCTAAGTTAGAAATCTCTGAATTTAATTGTTATCAAAATAAGCCTCTTTTTTTACTTTGAATTTATGGTTTAGAATTTTCATGAAAAAAGGTTTCTCAAAAACTATTTTAACGATTCCTTTGAAACTTTAAACACATATTAAGTGTTAACATCTAAGGTCAATGACCAAAGTTTCGTATGAGTGGCTCACAATTGACATACTTATGCCCATTTTTAAAGCTAAAATGTTTTGTCAGAAGGTTTATGAAATATGGTCCTATAAACCAGTTATGATATAATATTGAAACTTTATACACTTGTTCAGTATCAAATAATTTAGGACACCTACCAAGTATAAAGTACTTGTTATTTTCTATATAAACTTTTGTATACAGTTATGTATTAAGGGATTTTTTTTGGTATTTCATTTTGTATATATATATGTATATCATTTCAATTGAGATAAAACATACTTTTAATGTTTTAAATTTTTATTCTTGTAAAGCTACCTGTAGGAATTAAGGACGTGCTGTCGAATGGTTTCATCTATACAGAGCAGTTGCAAGAGCATCAGCAATACAATTTGTCAAGTTTTCGGAGTCAGTTTAGAAGACAAAGAGGTTTCATTGCAAAACAGCGTTCCTTCCGAGTGGAAAGTAGTACAGTTTAGCAAATGCACAATGTCCAAACACTGGTGACTTGGTTTTATTCGTTATTGTCTATGGAATTATTCAGTCATTTTCGGAATACGAGTGTTACTTTTTTCTCACTTGTTTCAGACGCTCGATAATTTTCAAGTTTTTAACCCCATCACTTATTGTGGACGCTTTATTGGAAACGTCTTATCCTGTCCATATCACCAATATGGTATAAAACTTGTATCGATAGACAGGTTATGGTGAGACAGAGAAAAGTGTAAAAAATCATGAATTCATAATTCTGGCTTTCATAATTTTCAGTATAAGGCCATTGTAAATTTTAAAACTTATATGAAATGTATCGAAAATCAAACTTTGCATGTTCATATAGCTTGGCGAGGCAGAAAGAAACATACTTCTTGCTATCATAGCTAACATACATTTTAGAAACTCCCCTTTGTTGTGTGTGTGTGTTTTTTTTTGTTTTTGTTTTTTCATACTTAGATTTTGTTAAACTCATAATTATCTCAAAAACTGTTGAAGACATCAATTTGAATTAACTGGCAGATATGTCTCGGCGAGATAGAGTGCATTGTGTTGAAAAAAAAATTGGTTATAACATTTAATCGTTCTCCTAAGTTACACCTTCCCTTTTTTTCGACATGCTGTGGGGTTGGGGTAAGCTCATTACAAAAGACTATGAGATTTCCATTACATATAAAGTCGGTCATTCTTCGAAAAAAAAAAAACAACATGTGGACGTTATTTACAATATACGTTATACAATGTATACATTTTCTTAAAGTTAACTTGGAATTTTTAGCTAGAGACTGTGTTTGTTTTTTTCTTTTTCTCTCTTTTGAACATTTAGAAATGAAGAAATAACGCTCTGAAAATGATTTTAAAAATCATGACTTCAATAATTACAATACAGGCACCCTAGCGTTGCTAGTTTACCTAATTTATCTTATGTTTTCAAAAGCTTCGTTAGAACACTCATGATTTCTTAGTTTTTCATCAGTAACGTATCAACAATGTGTTGTTTTGTAGAAATATTGCATGTATATATGTCTTCTGTGACGTAAATACTTGAAGTTTTTGTTGATGCCACTGTTTATTTTTAGCTGTTTCTTAGTGTTTTAAGTAAGGCATATGTGCTATTTCAGAAACAAAATGCTTACCTCTGTATATCTTTTCTCTTTTTCAAATTAAATATAATGAAGCTCAAATGCAGTTTGTTTTTGCATATCTAATACATTTGTTTTCTTATAAGACAACAATTTTGTTAAACAAAATAAAGCACGTTTGAAGAATAAACAATGTTTGTTGTTATCTGTTTAAACGTATTTATTCCAAAACAGTATTGATAGCTCTGCCAACCTGTCACGGTCTAGACCGTGAGGTAAAAACGTTTGGTAGTGTGGGTCTCTCGGTAGAGGTATATTTTGGTTGTCTGTTGAGGGAGTTGGCTGGTTAAACACAGTTTACTTCTATAGTGATTGCTATTCTATTTCTACTTTGCTCATTTCAACCTCTTACTTATAATTTTAATGGAACACTATCTCTACATGGATTTAAAACAATCTCTGTAACATTTATATACTGTTTATTGCGGTGGTAAATTACAAGTTTATTTTGGTTATAACAAAGTTACAATAACACAATAATAAATTGTCAACAAATGAGGATTTTATAATGCAAAAATGAGGCTGCTGGCTAAATGTACTTGTAAACATTATATGATTTCAACACCACTCTCGGCTGATGTGCTCCTTTGCGTTTGGTGATTGCATCACAAATATGCTTATTTTCATTAATTTAAAATCAAGTAAAACTAATGTTTATACCAAGAACAAAGAGTAGCAGAAAATAGCAAAAGTTATAAGTCAAAAGATAAAAAGTCATAAGTAAAAAGTGATAAATTATAAGTGAAAAGTCACAAGGCAAAACCTAAAAAACGAGAAAATAAGTCAGCATTATAACAAAGATCAATTATTATTTTAGAAATAACAATCATAATTATACATGTATATTTCTTTTAAATACCATAATACATCATAAAAAGTATGGTGTTAATTGTTGCGAATGAATAAGACGTTTGAATCTAATTACACATACTTGAAATTACACGTATAACTTATATGTCACGGTACGAATATATTCAGTAGAAGATGTGCAATCTCGGTCGGGACAGAACTAGCCCTGTAAGGGGGCCCGGGTTCGAATTCCGGTATGGCTGCATATCTTTCTCCCCTGTGACATTTGGCATAGTGGAAAGTGTCCCTGCCAGTCACGCAGGATACCGAGGTTCTATTCCTAGTCGGGCAGCCGTTTTGTAACCAGTGCTTGATAGAAGAGATACAACCAGAAGTCGATTCATATAGTGCAGTTAATCTCGTACCACGTATGCCAAAAACAAAAAGAAAGAAATACTGCATGTATTTGACGTAAAAAGTCACAAAATTGCACATACCTATATTGTGATGTAAAAACTTTACAAATTAATATTTACAGGCTTCTGAGTTGGAAAAAACCATTAACTTGTACAACAAATGTGTTTAGAATTGATTTTTTAAATAACTTTAGGAAGATTTCTCACTACACGTATGCTTTTCGTGAAAAAATACATGCAAAGACTATTTAAGAAATGACATGTTATGGTATGACCATTGTAATGCAATACCTCCATTTCAAGAGTATTAACATTAGTTGCATGAAATCAGATGGTTGTGGGTTCGAATCCCATATAGGAGCCAACTTTTTTTTCTTCATTTTTTTCTTCAGTATTATTGTATTTTTCTAGCTATATTTAGATGGAAAAATATGCTCGTTTTCTATTATTAACATTTTTTACAGCTATTCATTGCCTAATTCATTTTGTAATTAATGCTAAATTTAAAAGCAAATTTCGACATATAACATTTTCAATGCTTTATACAGGTATATTTACAAACTAGCCGGTAAAAGCCTTACATATTTCACAGAATGAATCAGTATACTTCTAGAAAGATTTTAGCAAACTTTGATACAAGCCCTTTGACTAAATGTAATTTTAGTGCTTTTTAAATTTAGAATGATATGATAGAAAATGTTCAAATGGGTGGGGTAGAGAAACATTTCCATGCATATTTCTATCGTGCCGAGAATAGTCATGCATTTAACATGCATAGTTCATTACTTGAATGTT